TTTGTTAGGGCTCATATGTGGGGCCTCTTTTAAATGCTTATGCATTTGTTGTCATTTAAACTAACAATAATGTTCCATAAGCAATATTTTGAGCACCTTTTTTCCTCACACTTTGCCATTTCACCAAGTTTAGTGATTTGGTGAATGGCTATTAAATATATTCTGTTTTTAAAAAAAACCTAAAATGTAAAATCTGAAGATTCAAATTTGAGCTATTTTAACTTTTTGTTCTCTGATCTGTTGTTTGACTTTAAAACCTTAATTATCTACTTTATTATTAACTAGTGTATCTTAATATAGCTTGAGACACACATACAGACACACAATGGTGATCCAGTGGTCATCATTACATGTCTTAACGTGTGTGAGATGATGCTTTTCAGACAAAAAAAGACAACAAAAGGAAGAAGAAGAGAAAAGAAATGAGCTGCAATTTAGATACTCACCAGAGGTGTGTCTTGTCCCTCCTGCATGGCTGAAATAGATGTTCCCCTCTTGTTCACCTGCAGAACCACACCTGTGAGAGCTCAGCGGGTGTCCTTCCACAAGCCTCAGGTGAACCTCCTGGGCTATTAGGAAGTAGCGCAAAGGTGGGGCCCTCCCTCCAGCCAATCCCAGACACTGGTGTGCACCATCACTTTGCATGTTGGTCAGCCGTTGCACATCACCCTCATCTGGACCACACCTTTACTTGCAAAATGGAACAGCCTTGTGTCTAGTTTCTCTACACTGCAGGGCAATGTTCTTGGACAGCTTAAGAATTATAGGCTTAACACTTCCATATGGAAACTTTTCACATGTTTGACATGGTCAGTGAATGGTGTGTGTTGTATATAAAACGAATGGACACGAAGGTTCAGTGTATTTCCTTAATTTTGGTGCTCTGTATTGTGCTCACTTGCTTCAGTTTATCAGAGGTGTAACTCAAAATGCCTACCGGTCAGTGGCAGACTCAAGTTTAGAGAAGAGGGGCTCAAAGGTCACCAGACTGATCGGGAAAAGTCATATGAGGAGTGCGAATCGTTCCTTCTTTATCATTACTATTCTGATCTTGCAGTGCAAGGTCCATTACCCACAGTTTCTCTAGCAGAGTTCCTGAGTGAACAGGAAATTACATGTGTGGTCCTCTCTTACTGGTCCACTTGAAGTGTATTTTTGAAGATTTCTCACCAAAATACAACTAATGCAATACAACTAATTCAAGTACAGGTTGTATATTAAAAATGAGCATGGGCTCCATTTTCTGAAAAGTAAAGCCAAAACAGAAGTGCCTCCTCAGGCTTCTGAGAGAGGTTCAATGAGGAGAGATCATTCGGAAGAACTGGACATGATTTATTGAGAAAAAGAAATAAATTAACACATTTAGTGATCAGACTCTGATGATCCATCATGGAAGAACAGAATCCCAGTGGTGATAGGATTTAGGACAGGACTCTTCCGAGTCTAGACACTGGTGGTGGTGAAGATGAAGATGGAAGCTGAAGATTGATGTAGCTCTGACCAACTCGGATGAGGCGGAGACGGGGAGGAGGCAGGCAGTGATGTCAGTACTGGGAAAGTGAAAGTGATGTAAAGAACAGATTAGCTGAACACCCAGGAAAGCAGAATAGATAATGTCCATGAGAAAAGCAGAGCCCCAGGCAGGGGGGTCAAATACAAGGCCTGGGGGGCAGAATGCTGCCCCCAGTTTAGCAAAGACTAATCCAGTCCCCTGGACAGCTTCAGAAAATGTGAAGGAGTGCATAGTTTTCAGAAATGTAACTGTATTTGTATAAGTTTTCCAACGTTTCCAATTGATAAAGACTGCCCCTCACTACCTCCCCCACACAGCCATTCATACTACACTAAAGTAATTAACTATTAGATAAACAATTACATGAGAGAAAAGTTCCTGTTTTTCCAATGTCAGCTAAAGAAATAACAAGATAATGTTCTCTTTTTTTGACGAAGGATGGCAGGGTGTAATTCACGGTAGGCCAAGCTTGTTACTAACATGAGGTTTCACTGTCAGATCAACCCCCAACTCATCAGTTCTGCTTTCAAGACATCAAGATACCGACAATAAAAGACTCAGCTTGAGGCTGAGTGTTTTATTGTGTGCTCCTTGTCACCAAACATGTGGCTACCACCATCTTTTTACATTCAGTCTTAGAATAGAGTACTGTTGTGCCTGCAAAAAAGCAAAACCGTACCTGATTTAAATTTAAAATCTCCTTCAAGCTAGTCTCCCAACTTAGCTTTACAGACCACTTAATCACAGCTCGTGGGGACTGAACTGCATTTTGCCATCTGGTGTGACAAACAAAAACATTTTATAAACAGAAATAATTGCAAACAATTTAGTGTTGGTTTGTACTTCTTGACAGTTTGCAGCCATGCATGGGTTATAAATGTGCTTGTGTGCATTCATGCTGGGGCATCCTAGGGTATTTAAAAGTAGAACTTGAGGCAGAGACTTCAGCTTGCCCCCCCTCATTGGAGCCAGCTCCCAGTTTGGATTTGGGAGACAGACACCCTCTCTACCTTTAAGATTAAGCTCTAAGCTTTTCTTCTTTTAATTTTTAATATTTTTTATTTATAAAGCTTATAGATCAGACTGGCTAAGGTGATCCTCAATCTCTTAGTTACACTAAAATAGGTGTAGGCTGCTGGAGATTCACTGAGTGTTTTTCTTCAGTCTCTATGTGTTTATACACCAGTTTGCATTTAATCACTAGTTATTATTAATTTTAAAAAATGTTATTTCACATGTATAAAGGTAGGTAAATCTCACTGAGGCAAGAGGTCTCATATTTTAATAAATTTATTGTTGTTCTCTTCCACAGTATGATCGGTTTCCTGAGCCTGGATCTGCTGCAGGTTTCTTGCTGTTAAAAGGGTGTTTTTCCTGTCACCAAGTGCTTTTTCATAGGGGGGGGGGGTCATCTGATGGTTAGGCTTTTCTCTGTTTTATTGTGAGGTCTTTACCTTAAAATTTAAAGTGCGTTGAGGTAACTTTTGTTGTGATTCAAAATAAATAAAACATAACTGAACTGGATTATGCTGAGTAAGAAGAAATTCTTCTGTGACCACTAGACAGGACAGACTAACAAACACAATCAGGAGCTTTTATCCAGTGTTTCAGCGGAGTTCGTCACACAATGATTGGATCACCACCAGCAACCCCCACACCACAGCTGTCCCTCTCCAACAGCTGCAGCCAATCAGAAGTCTTGTCATTGTGTACAAACAAAAAAGTTTTGCGCCCTGCAGCCTTTAAATCAACCTGCAGTCAAGTATCGAGCAGAGCAGAGTGCACCACCACCATCTCCTCCAAAAACTTAACCATTTGAAGGATGGAGCCCACGAGGCGCAGGGAGTCTGTTTGCAGGAACTTGTTTGGCCCGGTGGACCACAGCCAGCTGCGCCGGGACTTGAAGCTGAAGCTTAAGGAGATCATTGAGCAGGACAGGCGGCGCTGGAATTTTAACTTCGAGTGTGAAACCCCGCTGCCTGGCCGGTTTCAGTGGGAGGAAGCCGCACGGCCGAAGGACGCTGCCCACCGTTCAGGTGGGGACAGGCCGAGCGACGGCGAAGACGGCGCAGGGACCGACCAGGAGAACTGCTCCAACATCACCAACAAGCGCAAGAGTCCCACTGAAGAGATGCTCCACAGGCTCTCCAAACCGGCAGCCAGTATCAAAGACAATGCACGGATCACAGGTACAGGAAAATGAGTCCCGTTAGCTTTTGTTTGTTGGCTTATCGACAAATGTAATGCCAAGATATTGACCAATCTCTTGCTCCGATTTTCAGATTATTTCGCAAAGAGAAGGAGGACAACAACAACCAAGAGCATCCCGAATCATTTTCACGTCGGTTCTAATGAAGCAGCTCTGCGCAAGACTTTAAGATGAACATGCAGCTGAAAATGACTATTTGTTTTCATGGACTTGATCCCCACAACAAATTATTTTATTTTATTTTATTGTATGTTGGTGGATTTTATTTATTCTTTTTTTTTTCTTTAGCAGTTTTTTTGGGGTTTTTTTTGAGATTGCATCTCTTATTAGAATATTTATTCTATTTATGGATGTTATGAATGTTCTTCACTGGCATTTAAAAAAATCTGTTATACACTCGTGCTGCTAATCTAACTTGTTCTAAAAAAAAGCACTATTTTGTTAGGTCATTATTGTTATATAAAATGAATATGTAGCACATTTCTGTGCATATTACAGTTTTAATAAACTGTGATTATTGATCATTACATTTTATGCCTGTTGACTTTTTTTTAACACCAGGAAACTTTTCGTGTAAAGTAACAAATTTGTGATAGTTTCATTTTCATCTCCTATATCAAACCTTTTTAATGTGAATTTTATCTCTAAAAACTCTTTCTTTGATCAAATCAGACATAGCCATTCAGAAGCTCATGCATGATTGCCAGTCAATACTTTACAGATCTATACTTGTCTAAGACATACATTGAGAACTGCAGCACATCAATAATACACAATGTAAAAACTACAGATTGGTAATATCCAAAACAATGTCCACCACATTTTGCACTGTGACAGTTTGCTGACACTGAATAGAGCTTAATCTTTTTATCCTCCGGCTGTCAAACGTGTTGTCAGTCTTGTCTTTATATGCAAGACACCGAGACTGCTTTTTCTTACACTAAAATGTTCATCTATTTATAGCCGTGCCCTTTGGTGAACAGATTTCTAAATTATTGGTTTTTCAATATGACTGCAGTCTTATGAGAGAGTACATCTTTAGTGTTTTTTTGCTGTCTTTGCAGCAGACACAGATGAGTAGGTTAATAAGTCTCTCTCTTTCTCTCTCTCTCTCTGAAGTCATAGAAGAAAAAAAACTATTCGGGTTGTAAGTTTAGCAATTCAAAGAAGAAAATTGTTTCAGAGTAATTGCATTTTCTGGGTTCTATTATGAGATATTTCATAATCACAATTGTAAGAAATGTGCCGTCAGGCTTTAAATTATATCCATTAATATAAACTGTAATTGCCAAATTAGCCCATTAGAAAAGCCAAATCCCGCATAAGTATGTGCACTCCTGCAGTGTTGGGGTTTCAGCTCTAAAGAACTTCAAGAGGCCATCTGGCCTGAGAGCAGGATAATAGCAACAAAGCAGAGCGTGCCATCTATTTCACCTGCAAATCAGCCTTTGGCACTCCTCGACCCCCCCACCCCCAGGTCTTCCCTCGGCTTTTCTATTTTCACTTAGTCCCTGTTCATAGTCAAAGTTGCTATCATCCTTGACAAGTGCCTGAAGCAATACCACTTATGCTTATTCTTACTTTGCCTTACGATTGCTCAAATGTCACTTTCCCAAAGGCCACCTGTTCATACTTGCTACACAAGCAAGAAAAAAGAAGGACAATAACACTTTTAAAAGGCTCGGTGACGTTGCTAACTGTGTTATTTCTGAATGGGAGACAAATGATCATTCACTTTGTTCCAGTGGATTTATTTTTCAAATAAACGTGTCAAAAATAAATATCAAACTGTCCCATGGGTCCATAGGTTCCCATAGGATAGAGGATTCCCAGGTTTCCAACTCCAGCAGTAATTGCATTCCTGAAAGAGAAGCATTACAAGCATCAGTACATTATCTGTGAATTTAACTGTCACTAACAAGCCTGCAATGATTGTTTCATGCAATTCTAGAGTGATTTTGCTGAGAGAATAAGAAATGTTCCTTCATAATGACCCATAGGTTGATTAAAAAACAAACAAACAAAAAACAAAAAGCATCCTGCAAAGAGTACTGCTTTGTTTTTGGCTGATTGGGATTTCATTAAATTGTCCAAAGTAGAAGAAATTGCAGGAAAGACACGCATTAGGACTTCCACTTGTGTTTGATCACTCAACAAATACAATCTGAGGAAATTGTACCCTTTGATGCGAAGCAAACTGCTGGCAAAATTAGCATGTTAGTGTTTTATTTCTTTTTTCTTTCTGTATGAAATGTGCCTTACAAATTGCCTCACCTAAGCAGATGCTAAAGAAACATTAAAAAAAAAATCAGCTCATTGTAGCTTTAGGACATAATGATTTTCTGTATTGTTTGATTGTTTCTAACGCAGATTACGCCAATATCCCAAACAATCCACGCCCTCCCTGTAATGAAACTCTTCCCTCACCCTCTTCCTGATCGCCACAAAGGCCAAGCACCCTCAGCACACTTTAGGAGGGTGCAGCCCATTGTTGTCCACACCAGAGGCAGATGGTCATTTGGGCCCTTTCTCCACATGGGTACTTGTATGAAGGAATGCCTGGACACCCCACGGACGGTCAGCAGAGAAAAGGTCACCATCTGCCGCTCAAAGGTCAGCTGTCTAAAGAGCATGGTATTAGCCATGCTTTTGACTGTTTCAATAAGCTGGCCAGGACACGACACACAGCTCCACCTCATTGTGTTAAAACATGAGTGATGCAAAATACTTGTGGAAGCAGTGACTTGAATGGTGCTCCAGACATTCAAGACAAGGACTCTTAGTTGGATTATTTGCTTTCATTTTTAGTGTGAAATACTGACTTTTTTTGTTTGCTTTTCCTTCAAAATACCTATTACAAAAGAAAAATGTCTTTCTGTAACTCAAATATTTATCTCACTGGTTTTAGTGAGAGATTTCTCGAGACCAGCAGACTCAATACATAGACACTCAGTAATAATTAGTTCAATCTTTTATTGCTACGTAAAAGTTGTGCTAAACAACAAATAGTAACTGAAACTGTATAGTAAATAATGGCATTTATTCAAGTAAAACCTATTAATGTATATGAACAATCTCAAAGATGAATGCAGTTTAATGTGTTATTTCAAAGAAGGCTTAGTAGTGATGACTTCAAGATATTTTGTCACGGTCTGGCTGGCAGACCGTGGGGGTGTGGGGAAGGAGGACCCAGGCGCAGAGCTCAAAGTTCAAGCAGTGCGTTTATTTACAGAGGGTGATATCAAACAACAATAAATCCCCGTGTTTTTCCCCAGACTCCCGTGTCGTGTCCTCCAAGTGTTCTCTGCTCCCGTGTCTGCACTCCCGGTGCTCGCTGCTCCTTAAGCCTTCCACGCTCCTCCTGCGGGAAACAATAGCGGCAGCAGTCAGGACACTGAACAATGGCAGGCATACACTACACGACCAAAACCTAAACTGGGTAACTAACGTGGAGTCCCAAGCAATGATCCCGCGTCGGTGGGAGCTCCAAGACTCTCTTAAGTAGCTCCCCCGACGAGGCCTGATCAGCAGCAGGTGTGTGGCTTCGGGTGTGGCCAGTCCCCTTGCAGGGCCACATCCTCCAGGCCTGACGCCGCCTATAAACAAGTGCTCAGCCACCCACACACACACATACACAAGCACAGAGAAGGGGAAGCAACACCAAAATACACAACAATAACACAGGTCCATGACTGCCCAGGGGTCCTGGGTCGCCCAGTCCCAGGACCCTGACATATTTTATTTATTCCAGATTTGGGAAGTTTATTTGCATTTTACTTTCTCAATAATTCGACCTTACTTTGAAATTTCAGTAATCAATATAGTAATTAAAATAATATAATGATTGATTCTAAAGCAATATATGCACCTTAAACTTTTACGGATTAAAAAACTAATGCAGATTAAAAAGTCTGTAAAAAGGTCAGCTACAATGTAAATCAGCACTTCCTAAATTTAAGACTCCCATGATCAGTTCATAAACCTGGATGTTTTCTGTGGCTCACCCAAACCTCTCATTAGAGCTTTGGTCATAATATAAGCCAAAGGTCATGTTTTTCCTTAGTTGCAATTTAACTCATTGCTTATGACACGTCATAGCCCCTTTCTTTCTACATACTTTCCCCCCATTATTATGGATATATAAGGCAAATTCAGGATCAGAAATTAGCCAGAAAAGTAATCATATCATATCATATCATATCATATCATA